AGGGAGAGCCGATTGGAATTTGAAGGACAGGCCCTGCAACAAATTGAAGACGCTGAAGGGGAAGGGTGCAGTCACTGGGAATATCGGAGTTTGGGCCTCTGCGCAAGGTTCCTAGAATGCCAGAGCCACAGCTTCAGCAAAGAAACTTCTAAATGGTTCAAGGTCTTCCTCCTGACTCATCTCCCTCTTGCGGCTTCCACACAATAGTGGAAGGGCCCCCCTCCTTTGACCAACCTCATTGCAGTACATCAGGGGTGTCAAACGTGTGGCCCGGGGGCCAGATCAGGCCCCCAGAGGGCTTCTATCGGGCCCACAGTGGAACTGGCTGTCTTCTGCTTCTTCTTCCAGTTCACTTCTGGAGTGGGCTGGAGATGAGGGTTGCCAGATACCCTGGCAGGGGCCCCCACTTCCAGCCCCCCCCCCCCCGCCTTTGATCAGCAGGCCAGAGGGGGGAGTTACCTAGAGAAAGAGAAAGGCCAGCCCTCCTTGCTGGCATCACACAGCAAGTGACGTCATTACACCAGCGATGTCCAGGCGATGCTCTGGCATTGGGGCAAAGACTCTATGGTAGAAGCCAGTTTCACCATAGAGTTTTAACCCCAAATACTAGAGAGTTTTTACCCCAAATACTAGAGTGTCACCTGGATGTTGCTGGTGTGATGGCGTCACTTTCTGTGTGATGTGAATGAAGAGGCCTGGGCGTTTCTCTTTCTCCAGTTAAGTCCGTCCCCCCCCCATCCCTTGCCAATTGCCAGGATGGACCTGGCCACCCTAGCAGGAAGTGACATCACCAGTCTAAGCCCTCCCCCACTGCTGATCAGTCCCTCTGCTGGCCAGCTGATTAACAGTGGGGTGGCAGGCCCCGGTTGTAGGGGATCCCCTGCCTCCAGCTTGTTGTAGTAGTTAAGTGCGCGGACTCTAATCTGGGAGAACCGGATTTGATTCCCCACTCCTCCACTTGCAGCTGCTGGGTGACCTTGGGCAAGCCGTAGTTCTCCACAGTTCTGTCAGGGCTGTTCTCTCAAGGAGAGCTCTCTCAGTCCCACCTCCCTCACAGGGTGAAGACTCTGAGTGAAGGGCGGGGTACAAATCCAATCTCCTCCTCTTCTTCTTCTTTTCCTCCTCCAGTGGGGCCTAGCAGCCCTGGTGTTGAGGTAGATATCATCACGGAGTAAATAACCTCCCATTAGGCCTTGACTTGGATTCTCAGGCTGGCCTGATCTCGTCAGATCTCGGAACATACTTAAAAACATGAGCACTCTTGCAATATTTTGTTGATTTAGCAGTGTCTGATAACTGACACCTCTTGCTCCGAATTACTGCACCAAAATGTCTGTGCTGTTGCAATCCTGAGTCTGCTGTTCAGGTGTCTATCTGTACGCTGCAAAGCTACGATGACGCAGCAGCAGCAGCAGAACTGGAAGAAGCAGCAGAAGACAGCCAGTTCCACTGCGGGCCTGATAGAAGCCCTGCGGGGGCCTGATCCAGCTTCCAGGCTGCATGTTCGACACCCCTGCCCTACGGGGTAAACGGAAGTCAGCTGTGACCTCACGGCACTTCCCACCCCCACCACAGCATAACCAGGCACACACACATTGCAAGAGAATCTTCCCATTCACGTATTTCCCACCTCTGTATTTCGGTGCCCATGCTTTATTAAGTAATACTGCAGCATCGTGTGTCCTCAAAAGACTGAACATGTCACGTTTATTGCTAACTGGAGAAAAATCACTTAAAAAAATACAGAGCCACCCAATCAAAACCATGACAACGGACAAACTCTTACCTTCCGACAAGCTCGTTTGCACACATGCTTATATTCTTTGGCTTTGGATTCAGAATGATACCCTGCACCTAAGGACAAAGGAGATTTAGGGGGAAAGAAAAGCAAGACCGGTGTTTAAAATTATTCCTTACCAAAGTTAAAGGAACTACAGTGCAATCATATGCAGAGTAACACCCTTGATGTCAAAGGACTTAGAAAGGTGTAACTCAGTTTAGGACGGCATTAATATTATTTTTTTTCCCTTGAAGTATGCTATAGAGAGCCGGTTTGGTGTAGTGGTTAGGAGCGCAGGCTCTAACCTGGGAGAACAGAGTTTGATTCCCCACTCCTCCACATGCAGCTGCTGGTGTGACCTTGGGTCAGTCACAAGTTCTCTCAGAGCTGTGCTCTCAGGAGCAGTCCTCGAAAGAACTCTCTCAGCGCCACCTACCTCACAGGGTGCCTGCTGCGGGGAGGGGAAGGGAAAGGAGATTGTAAGCCGCTCTGAGACTCCTTTGGGTAGTGAAGGGCGGGATATAAATCCAATCTCTTCTCCTCTTCTTCTCTCTATAGCTCGTCCTGCCCTGGATAGCCCAATCTTGCCAGGCCCCGGAGGCTAAGCTGAGTCCACCCTGGCGAGTCCTTGGGTGGGAGACCACCAAGGAAGCCCAGGGTAGCTGTGCAGAGGCAGGCAAGGGCAAACCCACCTCTGTATGTCGTTTGCCTTGACCTGGATGGCCCAGGCCAGGCCAGTCGCATCGAATTTCGGAAGCTGAGCAAGGTTGGCTCTCATTAGTACTCGGACGGGAGACCCCCGAGGAAGTCCAGGGCTGCTATGCGGAGGCGGGCAGGGGCAAGCCACCTCTGAAGGTCTTCTGCCTTGGAAACCCCAGGAGGGGTCACCATAAACCAGCTGCGACATGGGGGCCCGACCCAGCCCCCACCATCCCTGACTTGGACGACCCAGGGCGGCTAGCCCAGTCTCACCAGATCTTGCAAGCTAAGCAAGGGTCAGTCCCGGCTGGGATTTGGATGGGAGACCTCCGAGGTCTGCCAGATCCGTGACGCAGAGCCAGCCGACGGCAAACCACCTCCGAACGTCTCTGGCCTTGAAAAACCCGACGGGGTCGCCATAATTCAGCTGTGATTCGATGGCGCTCTCCTCCACCACCAAGCAAGTAAGTAACTCAGGGGTCTCAGCTCTGTTTTATTTATTTATTATTTATTTATTTATTTCAATTTATAGCCCGCCCTCCCCACAAAAGCGGGCTCAGGGCGGGTCACAGACAGGCATACGCCCGCACATAAAAACATTTCAAAAACCATTTCAAACATTATACAACATTACAAAATTACGTATATAAAGTGCTCCAGATATTCCGCAAAGATGACGAACTTACTGCTGCTCTACTAGCTCAGTGTCCTGTGTTCCGGACAATGCCGGCGTTCTTTCTGCCAGGGCCAGGTAATGATGGTACTGTAGTGGCGGCTCCTACTCAAACACCTGGCGGAAGAGCTCCGTCTTGCAGGCATTAGGTCCCGCAGGGCCCTGATCTCCTCCGGGAGCTCATTCCACCAGGTAGGAATTTATTTACTTATTTTTCACATCCCGCCCATCCCGTAAACGGGCTCAGGGCAGGTTACATCATGTTAATAAATACAATAAATTTTTTAAAACATTAGTAAAAGGTAAAGGTTCCCTTGCTCGAAAGCCAGTTGAGTCCAACTCTAGGGTTGCGGTGCTCATCTCCGTTTCCAAGCCAAAGAGCCAGCGCTTTCCAAAGACGTTTCCAAGGTCATGTGGCCGGCATGACTAAACACCAAGGCGCACGGAACGCTGTTCCCTAGTGGTACCTATTCACCTACTTGCAATTTCTTGCTTTCAAACTGCTAGGTTGGCAAGAGCTGGAACTAGGGACGGGAGCTCACTCCGTCATGCGGCACACTCGGGTTTCGAACTGCAGAACTACCGACCTTCCACAGCCTGCAGTTCAGCATCTTAACCACTTGAGCATACAAAATCAGTAGCTGTGGCTTGCCGTTGGAAGATTCCAGCCCACTGATGTCACTTACGGCCGCCAGGTCCCCCGGGGGGGAGGTTTCCCGCTGAAAGGGCCCCCAACCCACTGGTCCAGATCCAGCCGGCGGGGGGAACCTCACCCCCAAAGTGGCCAGATCGGGATGACGTGCCCAGCATGATGACGTGGCCCGGAAGTGGCATCATGCTGGGCACATCGCCGGGCAAAGCTCTAGCAATCACCCTGAAAACTCTATGGTACCATAGAGTTTTCAGGCCGGTTGCTAGAGTGTCGCCCGGCAATGTGCCCAGTGTGATGACATCACTTCTGGGCTACATCATCGCGGCGCGCGAGCAAGGACTCCCCGAGAGGGACCTGGATTTCCCCACTATTACTTTCATAAGCAGAGGTCATTTCGGGGGGGGGGAACACGGGGGAACGCGGTTCCCCCGGGTGAGGTACGGGGGCGGGGCACATGACGAAGCCCCGCCCCCTGCTTCCGGCCGCCCCGCTTCCGGCCCTCATTCAGCCAGGAGGAGGCAGGAGAAGAGGGAGGGTAAGTTGCTTCCTCCCTGCCTCTCCCCACCCCTGCCTGCCTGGGGCCAGGGAGGGCCTTCGCGGGGCTTCCTTGCACTCCCGCTGGCCTTGCAGGTCCACCGCTGGGCCCCTCAATTCATGGCGAGGTGATAAATACAGAGGGGGAAATAAGGGTAGGGGAACTGACAGAGTTCAATGAAGCCACATCACATTGTCTGCTTATTGTTCCCATCAAATAGGAAGCCGAGGAAGGAAAAGGTGCATCTGAAACCCACATCCAGGTACCCTGCCATACTGACTGCAAAGTCACCCCTGAACGGCCATAAATCTATGCAGAAGATACTATAAAACCCAACGAACTAAAAAAGTGAAAGTGGCAGGCAGTGTAGAGGGAGATTTTTTTAAAAAATAGATTTTTATTGAGTTTTTAAACATTTGTAAACATGAAACACAAAACTAACAATAACTACAATCAACCAACTCATAAGGATAAACTAGGTGGTTACCTCAACATAATATACAGGTATGTTCCTGAACACACATTTCAACAAACGTTTGTCTAGGGAAGAGCGAATAGGTAAAGGTAAAGGTTCCCTTGCTCGAAAGCCAGTCGAATCTGACTCTAGGGTTGCGGTGCTCGTCTCCGTTTCCAAGCCGAACAGCCAGCAATGTCCAAAGACGTTTCCGTGGTCATGTGGCTGGCATGACTAAACACCAACGAGCACGGAACGCTGTTACCTTCCCACCACAGTGGTATTTATCTACTTGCAATTTCTTGCTTTCGAACTGCTAGGTTGGCAGGAGCTGCAACTAGAGACGGGAGCTCACTCTATCATGCGGCACACTCGGGTCTCGAACTGCTGAACTACCGACCTTCCACAGCCTGCAGTTCAGCGTCTTAACCACTTGAGTCACCGCAGCTCCCTCAGTTACTTAGGCATCTCAAGAATAATTTTTCCAGATTGTCGTTGCTGTTCCTGTATCCCTGTAAGCAAAGTCAAAATGAACCATAGCTCTACGGTGTGTAGATCCACATTCAGGAAGCAAAATACATCATGGTGAACTGCTGTGCAGGTAAAAAGGAGAAGCACACCAAACAGGGTGACAGAGAGCCAGCAGAGAACATTCATTTGGCTAACCTCAAAAATTCCTGACAATTCACAGAAGAAAGAAGCATCTTGGAGACAGAGCACCATCTCTCTCCTACTCCTTCTGCTAGCAAGGTTCTACAGATTATTTGCAATGACTGTCAGTCAGCAGGATTTCAAACAACAATCCAGGCGGTCAGTCAGCAGAATGGTATCAGTTCAAAAATGTTAACTTCCCCCGCCCTTACAATACCTGCATACTAGTGACACCGGATCCTAATTCACATTAAAACCAGCAAGCAGTGAATTGGGGTTGGGGGAGGGAGTGCATAATTCAGATTAACACCCACAGAAAACAAGGAAAGGAGCAAAGATCTTCAGCACCTGGTGGAAAAAAATCAGCACATTCCCACCCACACGACCCTTTTGGTGGGTACTGGGTCCATGCATGTTTTAGGGATGCCAGTCTCCAGGTGGGAGCGGGGTAACCCCCCAAATTACAGCTCGTTTCCAGACTGCAGAGATCAGTTCCTCTGGAGAAAATGGATGCTCTGGAGTGGACTCCCCGGCACTGTACCCCACGGAGGTCCCTCCCCAGACTCCACCTCCAAATCTCCAGGAGTTTCCCAAACAGATCTGGCAACCGGGCCCTACAACCAGTGTTCCCTCTAAGCTGAGTTAGTGTGAGCCAGCTCACAGTTCTTTAGCCTCCGGCTCACACATTTCTGTCTTAGTTTAGGGAGGAAGGCTCCAGAGCAAACTAATTTAGGCAGTAGCCAAACCGCTTGCTCACAGCTTTAATGCCAGCAGCTCACAAAGTAGAATTTTTGTTCACAGGACTCCGCAGCTTAAAGGGAGCGTTGCCTGTGAGGTCGGTGGAGCTGAGAGAGCTCTCCTGAGAACTGCCCTTGAGAAAACAGCTCTGAAAAAGCTTTGTAACAGACCCAAGGTCACTCCAGGAGCTGCATGTGGAGGAGTGGGGAATCAAACCCGTTCTCCCAGATTAGAGTCCGTGTTCCCAACCACTACACCAAACTGGCTACAGTACACCACACCAGTGTTCCCTCTAAGCTGAGTCAGTGTGAGCCTCCAGCTCACAGATTTTTTGTCTCAGCTCAGGAAGGATGGGGCTCCAGAGCAAACTAATTTATGCAGCAGCCGAATCGCTCACTCACAACTCTAATGCCAGGAGCTCACCAAGTAGAATTTTTGCTCACAGGACTCCACAGCTGAGAGGGAGCATTGCCCTACAACCCGCCCCCCACCAATAGCTGGGGGGGGGCTGGCAACCCTAGCTCACCCCTTGGAGAAAATAGATGCTTTGGAGAGTGGACTCTGTGGCACTGTATCCCCACTGAAGAAGAAGAAGATTGGATTTATACCCCATGGCCCTTCACTACCCAAGGGAGTCTCAAAGCGGCTTACAGTCTCCTTTTCCCTCCCCTCCCCTCCCCACAGCAGGCACCCTGTGAGCAGGGTTCCCTCTAAACTGTAGAGTCTTGTGAGCAGAAATTCTGCTTTGTGAGCTACTGGCATTAAAGTTGTGAGTGAGCGATTGGGCTGCTGCATAAATTATTTTTCTCTGAAGCCCTCCTTCCTGAGCGAAGACAAACAACGAGTGAGCCAGAGGCTAAAAAACTGTGAGCTAGCTCACACTAACTCAGCTTAGAGGGAACGCTGCAAAATTTAGGGGATTTGAGGGCATTAATGGAGGACAGGCACACCAGTCGTACTGGCCGTCGTGACTAAAGGGAACTTTCACATTGAGAGTCAGTCAGCCTCTGAATGCCAGTGCCAGGAGGCAACATCTGGGGAAGGCCTCGCCCGCTTCGTTGACCACACAGCGCAACCCGTTGGCCACTGTGTGAAATATAATTCTGGACTAAATGGACCACTGGTCTGGTCCAACAAAACACCACTTATGTTCTTACGTTTTTCTGTACATTCCTACTATTCAACCACTGGGTCTTCCCCCAAACCCTCAGATCTCTCCATGTGTGAGACAGAAGAAGGAGAAGAGAAGAGACTGGATTTATACCCCGCCCTTCACTCGGAGTCTCAGAGTGGCTTTCCCTTCCCCTCCCTGCAACAGAAACCCTGCGCGGTCAGTGGGGCTGAGAGAGCTCTGACAGAAGCCGCTCTTTTTCAAGGACAGCTCTGACAGAACTATGGCTTGCCCAAGGTCATCCAGCAGCTGCAAGTGGAGTGGGGAATCAAACCCGGCAAAATCGGCTCTCCCAGATTAGAGTCCGACACCAGACTGGCTCACTGAGGGTCCCCAGGCTCCGCCCCCAAATCTCCAGGAATCTCCCAGCCTGGAGCTGGCAACCCTCCCTCCCCCCCATCCCCTGCTGGTGGCCAAGGGGGACCTGTCAGCCCTGCCTGGACCCCTTGGAGAAAAGGGATGCTTTGGAGGGCGGGCTCTGCTAGGGCCTTCCCCCCACCCCCAGTCTCCAGGTGTCTTCCCGCCTGGAGCTGGCAACCCTAGACCCCTCCCACCTGCGCGCGCGCACACGCCCCCTATGGGACGAGCAGAGGCACCAGCAGGGCAGGTGGGGAGAGCCAACCTGGGCGGGGCCCGCAGAACGGAGCCGTCCTTCCTGACCTGTCCTTGCAAGCGCCGCCTCCTCCTCCTCCTCCTCCTCCTCCGGGGGCCTCCAGGGGCAGGATCCAAACTCGGGACCGAGAGGGGGACTTGTCTCCGAAGCCCCGCCCTCGGGCTCCACCCCGGCCGCCGTCACCTGCCAGGTGACGACCTCCTCCGCCGCCGCCGCCGCCTGCACATTCCCGCCCCGCCCTCTCTGAGCCTCGGGAGAGCGTTGCCGGGGCAACCGACGGGGGAAGGCGTCGCGCTCTCGTGGCGTCACAGACGCGCTGACTCGCGTCACGCGCGTGACCTCACGCCGGGGGACACCGCCCTCCTCCTCCTCTTGAGGGGAGGGGTTGGAAGGAAAGGAAGCCTCACTCACGGGGAGGAGGGAGGGGGCGGGATCAGGTGTCGTCAGCGGGAGCGCGCCCGGCAGGCGCACGCGCACCACGGGGTTTGTCGTCCCCCACCCCGGCGCCCTCCTCCTCGGCCGGGAGGGAGGAGAGCAAAGAGGTAGAAGAAGCGGGGGAGGGGGTAGAGAGAGAGAGAGAGAGAGAGAGAGCGTTCTGCAGGGCGCGCACTTCCGGCTGCTATTAGAGCGCCGCTATCGCCGCCGCCATGTGCGGGGTTGGAGAGGGAAGAACGGAAAAGAAGCGGCCGATGATGTAGATATTATAGGGTATTAAGTAATGTTAGGTATGAGGCGGGTGTTGACTGTCATTTCTTGTTGGTTTTAACTTTTCATTTTGGGTGTGTTGCATTCTACGGTATGGGATTACAGGTTGGGTTTTATTGTAAACCGCCCTGAGCCCTGCTTGAAGGGAAGGGCGGCTTAAAAATCGGAAGGAATGAATGGATGCACGGCTCTTTTTGTAGCAAGCAGGGACTCCTTGGCGTATTAGGCGACACCCCCTTCATGTAGCCGATCCTCCAAGATCTTGCCCCTGTATGAAGAGCTCTGTCAGCTCTGGGAGGATTGGCTACATGAGGGGGGGTGTCGCCTGATATGCAAAGGAGTCCCTGCTACAAAAAGAGCCATGAATGAATGAGTCCAGCCTCTAGTAGGGTTGCCTGCTCTGGGATGGGAAATACGTGGAGATTGGGGGTGGAGCCTATGGAGGGCGGGGCTTGGGGAGGGGAGGGGCTTCAGCGGGGCGTAATGCCCCAGAATCCTCCCTCCAAAGCAGCTGTTCTCTCTTGGCCCCCTGGAGGTTGGCACCCCTCGCCTCCAGGTGGGACCTGGGGATGCTCCACAATCACGGCTCATGTCCAGAGTACCGAGATCCGTTCCCCTGGAGAACGTGGGTGTGGGATGACAGGGTTGCCATCTCTGGGCTAGGAAATTCCTGGAGGTTTGGGGGGTGGAGCCAGAGGAGGGCGTGGCTAGGGGAAGGGGAGGGACATCCGTGGGGCATACTGCCATAGAGTCCACCTTCCCAAAGTGGCCATTTTCTCCCCCGGGGGGAACTGGTCTCTGTCGCCTGGAGAGGAGCTGTAATCCCAGGAGATATCCAACCGCAACCTGGAGGTTGGCAACCCTACATCCTTTGGCAAGTGGACTCTCTGGCCTTCTACCCCACTGAGGTCCCCATCCTCAACCCCAAAATCTTCAGGAGTTTCCCAAGCTGGATGTGGCAACCCTACCACCTGTCAGCAAGCTGCCAAAAGTTCATTCTTGTCTATATGTCTCTCTATGCATCTTCCCCCCCCCCTCCGTAGATGCGCTCAGCTTGTCATGCGCACATCTCCCCAGTAGCTCTGCATTCCTTTCAGTATACGCCAGCCATGCTTTGATGTAACCAAGGCCACAGGTGGAAGAGCAAGAGAGCTTTGCTTTGTCTTTAATTAGTAGAGACTGTGAGAAAGTGTATGCTTATTTATAATAAGGTAGCCGTTGCTTTCCCAAGGATTAGGCGCGCAAGAAACCCTTTGGGCGCGCGCGGGAATCATGTTTATTGGCTGTATTGATTATGAACTTGCTTTAACCTTTTCAGCTCTCCGAGCTATCGTTATTCTGAACAGTGCCTCTGTTCAAGTGCTTCGTGGCTTCAATAAAGTAAAACCTTCCTGCAAGTGTGTACTTCTGTTGTTTGCTGTGGGGTCTGACACCACCACCACCCATCCCCGGTCAGAGCCGAGGGAGGAGGGGGGGAGAAGACCTGGGAATCCTAGGTGGGGTTGCCAATTCCATTTCCGGAAACTCCTGGAGAGGTTTGGGGAGGGGAGGAGGCTCAGTGGAGCGCAGTGCCCCAGAGTCCGCCCTCCAAAGCAGCCATTTTCTCCAAGGGAAGTCATCTCTGTCGTTTGGAGGAGAGCTGTAATTCCGAGATCTACAATCCACAAGAATAACACACAATCTCAAAACAGTCTGGTAAGAAAAAATATATATATACAGATGTGTGTGAGATGCCCACAGAACAATACAATGACCAAATACCTAAATAAATAAAAAAAAATACCTAAATAAATAAAGAGATTAGACTAAAGGCATAACATCATTTAGGGTCTGGCAGGGGTCATTTTGTAGAAAAAGAGGTGCAGGAGCTCATTAGCATAACTTATTTGCATAGGCCACACCCCCTGACATCACCGGAAGCGTGTCAGAAGGCAACACCCACCGCTCAGGCTCCACTGGACTGTTTTGTGTTTTAATTACTCGAGATTACTGTTCCAAACTTTTATCACTTTGTCCCATCATCATCATCATCATTATTATTATTATATACAATGATACAAATTGCTATACTCTGATGGTTTCTGTTTGTTGGCATATGGGCTGACTTGTACTGTTATTTTTTCTTTAAAGCTATTGTTATGCCAATAAAGTTTATTGGAATTTGAATTGGACTCTAATCTGGGAGAGCCGGGTTTGATTCCCCACTCCTCCACTTGCACATGCTGGATGACCTTGGGGCAAGCCATAGTTTTGATAAGAGCTGTCCTTGAAAAAGAGCAGTTTCTCTCAGAGCTCTCTCAGCCCCACCGACCTTACAGGGTGTCTGTTGTGGGGAGGGGAAGGGAAAGGAGATTGTGAGCCGCTATGAGACTCCCTTGGGTAGTGAAGGGCAGGGTGTAAATCCAATCTCTTCTCTTCTTCTCTGTAGCCACAAAAGGGTTCCTTCCCGGAGACTCTGCCAGCACAAATTGCTTCCTTTGGCTAATCAGCTTCTTGGCATGACCCAATCGCTTTAGTTCGCTTCCCTGGATCTGCCTAAATAGCATTCTTTATAACTCCCTGTTGTTCAACACCCACTCGCTATTCTTTCCAGGGCACGCACCGTAGCAGGGCAACGTGTTTCTGACTAAAATGGGATCTTGTTCTGTCCTTGGTTTCGCAATCCTAATCCTACGTGGGCCAAACCAGAGGGGGGGAAAAGGTCAACGTACTTGAGGTTGGAGCTCCACTTTATTTCATTACACTGACATTCGCAAAAATGGCTGTATGCGTGAAAACTGGAATCGCTGGACTCCAGCCGTCCAGTGAGGAACGCCGTAAGTTGCTTTTCATGCTACGATTCTCCGTGAGGAAAACGTTCCTCTAAGTCACCCGATGAAAGCAAGGCCCCCGACTGCTAGGGTTACCAACCTCCCGGCGGTGGCCAGAGACCTCCCGCTATTTATTTATTTATTTATTTATATATAT